GACTGAAAAGATTATACCGTCGGATCTGTAGATTTTGATGATTTAAACAGCAAAATGTTCTCTCTTCGATTAAAAAGAATTTTCCCTTAGTTTCATGATGCACCGATTATTCCTTTTAAGATATTTCTGCAAGGAAAACTTCTGTTTTAAATCATGCACAATCCTCAGAAAATAACTGAGATGATTTTAGCCTTCTACTGTCTTCCATAGTGTCACAGTAAGAACTGTGCTTCGCCTCCTATAGAAGGTAGTAACCACAAAAAAGCACAACAATCGAGTGGCTAGATTTTAGACGTGCGGAAAATAGCGTAACTAAGTTAATTTGGCAAACAAAGCAAGCATACTTCAAAAGAAAGTTCTCTGAAAACAGGCAAGACCTGCGGAAACTTTGGAACACCGATTCTGGAACTGAAACTACCCACCTGGTTGGTTATATCTTCTAGCTTTTAAATATGTAAAAATCTCTGCGGGCCGTCTCTACTTTTCATAGGGCAATTCGCGAACGAATCAGTTGCATAATTCGGCGATGTTTGCATCTAATGTTCTCAACAACAAACATCTCAGGCAAATGAAACTTGCAAGGCTTGGAAAGAATGTTGTCATATGTGCAATATCCCGAAAAGAAATCTCGCCTCTGGTGGTCATCTTTTAAAAAAGTTTATCAGCCTTCATGGAGGGCTACTCGACGCAACTACAAACATATACCTCAAATCGTGTGCATATCATCCTGATTCCGAGTGCTGCAACTTCTTTCACAGGAATTTGAGCATTCCGAAGTCCTCCGAGGATACACTGCTATACTTGTATGTCCTTTGAAACATGATAAAGTCGGGTGATCTACACAAAACTATCCCATCACTGGTCATTTGTCAGAAATGTGTACGTTATCACGATGGCGTTACGCTGTATTTCTCCATGAAGTTTTCATACAAAGAAGACGAGAGATGCACATTTTTCGATATTTCAGCAGATCTCCGCGCATTCTCAAGTAAAAACTATCGAAAAGAAAGAGACGAGGAAAACTTTGATTGAATGCTTGTAAACACTGAGAATCTGAGAGCATTGACCACTTTCATAAATGGCTGCCGGATTAATATTCTTTTGTTTAAATTTGAATTAGCCTTTCTGGCCTTACTTGAGATAAAGTATTATTTTGAATTTTATACTGGAGAACGAGGCCAGAAAGGTTAATTTAAAGGCCCATTTTCAACCTAGATACCTTGCGCGCCCGGATCATTTTTCGAAAAATGATGCTATTTTCCTCGTAGTTGCAGAATCGCTTTGATATCTTCTTCCATCTTACTAATTAGGGCTTTCAAAGTTCCATCTTGAATCATGTGCGAACAACAAACTATCGTAGTATCCATATCAGTAAATAGTTTTTAATTCTTACATGTATGACGGTGAAAAACGTCATTTGAAAAGTTGATGCCGCCGAAGAAGCGGTCTAGAGGAAGGCCGAGTCTGCCCG